TGTGTGTACATGTTTCTACTCTTGTTTAAGGTGTTGTAACTATGCACTTCATTTAAAATATAGTTTAATGTTCTAGGCATCCTAAATATTAATGAAAAGCCTTGGATATGCTAATTGTATAAAGTTTGGGAAATGAAAAAGTCTAACAACAAAAAGACAGTTATTTGTTTCCTGGTGGAAAGATGAAGAGGTCAGTGGAAGGAATTTTAAGAAATCTAAGGGAGAAAGTCAGGAATCAAAAAAACTGAGTTTGCTGCAGATAGGCATTTGAATCCACAGCAAACACTGAGCAGCGGACAGACAGTGACAGGGGATCTCACATTTGTAACCTCCAAATTCCTGAGCACAATGCTCTCAGAAATGAATAAACATCAGGAAACACTCACATGTGCTCACCAAGGAGAAGGAATTGTGAGAATACGTGTTTGGATGACACAAAAGGAAATAAGAAAACCCATGTTCTTATCATAGAGAAGGAATTATGACAAACGCTGTAGGCAGGTCTGACCAAGACCAAGAATTTAATCCAGGAGGATCAGGGTCCATCCCAGGCAGTGGGACAGACAGAGCTCTTGTGAAGAAATAAAACTGTGTGTGAAGCCATTGCATTTCACGTTCATACTGAGGAGACATGCCTGTATATGCACACAGCATGCTCAGATCACAGACACAGACAGAATTAAGTGGAACATGGTGGACTCTGAACAAGAGAAAGCTGCACCTGTAGCTGCCACACTGTGTCACTTTCTGAAACTGACATCTTTGTCTTTGATGTCTTACATCTGCTCTGAGCACTGCCCAACTCCAGAGCCTGCCTTAGCAGGAAGACATGCAAATGAGGCTTCTCTGTGCCCATGAAAACCAGCCCTGCCCTGAACCTGCAGCTCTGACACAAGAGCTCAGCCCTGGATTCCCAGGTCCTCCCATTCTGTGATCAGCACTGAACACAGGCCACTTGCCATGAACTCAAGTCTCAAATTGGTTTTCCTTGTCCTTATCCCAAAAGGTAACTAATGGAGACGAACTGCTGTGTGTTCTGTACAGATGAGAAAAAAGAAAAAATATAGGATCTGTGACAGTTTTCTGACTAGAATTTTCTGTGTTTGCAGGTGTCCAGTGTGAGGTGCAGTTGGTGGAGTCTGTGGGAGGCTTAGCATAGCCTGGAAAGTCCCTGAAACTCTCCTGTGAGGCCTCTGGATTCGCCTTCAGTGACCATTACATGCACTGGGTCCGCCAGGCTCCAGGAAAGGGGCTGGAGTGGGTCTCAAGCATTAGTGGTACTAGTCTATTAATCTACTATGCAGATACTGTGAAGGGACGATTCACCATCTCCAGAGACAACACCAAGAAGACCCTGAACCTAAAAATGAACAATCTCAAGTCTGAGGACATGGCCATATATTACTGTGCAAGAGACACTGTGAGTGAAAGCTGCTGAGAGCTCAGAAACAAACCTCCCTGTACGTCTCAGGACCAGCAGGGGGCGCTGAGAGCACACAGGGCTCTGGCCACAGAAGAGCCTCTTCTGAGAAGCAAACAGGGTTGGACTTCTCAATGTCTGTGCTGCCTCTCCATAACACACTCAGGGATTCTCTCTGCACTTATGTTGTAGTAATCTTTGAAATGTCCTAATTTCTATTTAAAATCTGTTTCCATTGTGATAATTGTCTTTGTATTTATGTTTATTCCTGTTTGCCCTCCTCTGCCAACTCTCCTTCCCTCCCTCTTTCTTCCTGCCTCTTCTTCCTTTCTCTCTCTCCATCCCTCTTGCTGTCCCCCTCTGTCCTGTCTATCCATCCCTGAGTGTGTGTGTGTGTGTGTGTGTGTGTGTGTGTGTGTGTGTGTGACAAATGTTTACCTGTGTGATGCTTCCTAGTGGTCAACTCAGGCCCTTCAAGCTCACATTTCACATTGTTCTTTTGCAGACAGGGAATCATCAACATAGTTTCATGTCACCAGAGTCTACAAAGAACATGCGCTTGATCAGAGAGAGCAGTTCAAGAGTTTGTGCTGCCGGATCACACATTGTGAGAGATGAACGACATCGTCAAGTTCCTTTCCTCTTGGTGTCTTCTGTTCATCCAAGGATGTACGTCAAGGATAGATGCATAGGTGTGATGAAAAGGAACCACCTGGTGTGGCCACACTCTGAGGTCATGTGGTCCCCAAGTTATACTGTAGGATTCCACATGATCTGAAAACAGCAGGCTCAATAGAGTGCTAGCCAAATATGTGAGGATGTAATGAATTAAAGACACGGCAATAGGTATCCTATCCCCAGGAATGTATTTCCCAGTGTCTCTGAGGAGTTCAGGGGCCATGAGAAGGAGGATGTGTTCAACACAAAGAGTCGCACTGTTGGGAACTGATGAAGAAAAAGGATGGAGATGGGGTGACTCCAGTGTTCATGGATGCAGTGCAGATTTAAAGGACTCCATTTGTGAGGGGAAGCCACAGATGGTCAAACAGCTGCTCATCAGATCATTGGAGCAGGAGGCCTTTAATGTTCTACAGTGATGGATTTTTAACACACTTTACTATTTTGACAACACTTTTCGTGTTTTATTTGAAAACACATGTACATTTGTAATGTATCTTGGCCATATACTCACTCAACTCTTTCCTTCCAATTCCCTCTCCTTGGCCCTCACAACACATTTTCCTCCCAAGTTCATGTCCTCTGTTTATAGCATAAAAGTTTCCCACTGGTGATGCCAACGTACCCATGGCTGTGAAGTCATCCAAGGGTTAAGACAATCAACTAATATACATATCACTAAGTACAGTGACTCTCCATCTGTCAGGTTCCATCTTTAATGCAGAGTCTAGGACTCACAACCCTGTGAGTGTTTATCCACAGTTAGAATGTCTACATAAAAACCCCAATATCCCCCACATCCCCACCCCTTCATCTCTCTCCCACACACGCTC